CGTAATAGGCAGTTACATTCTAGTATTATTATTTATAATTATTATGAAATTCACTCATCGAGAATCATTATTACATTCAACTTTTATTAATTTTTTTTTTCATTGTAACAGTTATTTTTATTTATCAATTTATATACCATAATAGATTCAAAGTATACTGCACATAATTATTTGTTTTTTTTATTTCTAAAATTTATATTCTGCAATACAGATATACATATAATAACAATTATTGATGATTATAGATTACATGCAGTAAACATAGAAACTGACGACGTTACCCAATCTTCTAATACTAATGTATTTCCAAGACTATATTTTACAATGGAAGAGACAAGAAAAGAGGAAATACATGAAGGAATCGAGTTACAACACATAACTGATAAAAGTGATCAAGGAAATGTCCTCTACAAGGATGTCGACGATAACGAAAGTGACATTTTGACGCATGAATCAGCAACCTCGAGTCAGGATCGGTCTAGTTTCCTCATTAGCCCTTACTGGCTTCAAGACGAAAGACTACGAAGAGGCGTGGTGGATTTTCTGTCAAACGATGAAGAAGAATTTTGGAAAGATCTGATTGGAAAATATTTGCAACCCATTGAAAGTGATGAAGAAAGTCAAGTGAGTTGGGTTTATTTTTATTCTGCAAAAAAGAAACGAAAATAGGAAAAATAAAAGTAATTTATTGTTATGTACTTTTGATATATACAGGGTGGTCCGTTTTAATCTATCGATGCGAATATCTCGGAAAGTACGCATCTGATTGAAAAGTTGTAAAGGGAAAATTTGTTTGTTTAGATGGGGGACATCCAATGACACCGAACTCGGCCCCCACCCCCACCCCCGGGGGTGGGGCGGCGGTCAAAATTGAAATTTTAAATGGGTACCCCGATTTTTTATTACAAATTCTGATTCTGCGTCAAAAAATATGAAAGTTTTGTCTCAAACATTTTTTTCGATGCGTGACAGATGGCGCTGTAATCGGTAATTTTAATCTATCGATGCGAATATCTCAACAACTACGCATATGATTGAAAAGGTAGAAAAGGGAAATCTGTTAGGAAATCTGGATAGGGGACATCCAATGACACCATACTCGACCCCCCCTCTCCAACCCTCCGTATGGAGCGGGTTCAACTTAAAAGTCTTAAATGGGTATCCCAATTTTTTATTGCAGATTATGATTCTGCGTCGAAAAATATGGAAGTTTTGTTTCGATTACAGCGATATCTGTCACGAGTCTAAAAGAATGTTCCAAACAAAACTTCCATATTTTTCGACGCAGAATCAATAAAAAATGGGGGTACCCATTTAAGACTTTTAAGTTGAACCCGCTCCATACAGAGGGTTGGAGAGGGGGGGTCGAATATGGTGTCATTGGATGTCCCCTATCCAGATTTCCTAACAGATTTCCCTTTTCTACCTTTTCAATCATATGCGTAGTTGTTGAGATATTCGCATCGATA